ATGGGACAAAACTAGGTCCAGAGTATGACTGTGGCAGTGAGTAGGTCCAGAGACATGTTGGACAAAACCCACTGAGTCGATGATGGCTCCGAAAGACTTTTGGAGTGGGTCTGTGGACTTCTCCATGTGAATATTAAAATCACCAAAAATTAGAATATGATCTGCTATGACTACAAGGTCTGATAGGAATTCAGGAAACTCAGAGAGGAACGCTGTATATGGCCCAGGAGGCCTATAAACAGTAGCTATAAAAAGTGATTGAGTAGGCTGCATAGATTTCATGACTAGAAGCTCAAAAGACGAAAACGCCATTTTTTTTTTTGTAAATTGAAATTTGCTATCGTAAATGTTAGCAACACCTCCGCCTTTGCGGGATGCACGGGGAATATGGTCACTAGTGTAACCAGGAGGTGAGGCCTCATTTAACACAGCAAATTCATCAGGCTTAAGCCATGTTTCAGTCAGGCCAATCACATCAAGATTATGATCAGTGATTAGTTCATTGACTATGACTGCCTTTGAAGTGAGGGATCTAACATTAAGTAACCCTATTTTGAGATGTGAGGTATCACGATCTCTTTCAATAATGGCAGGAATGGAGGAGGTCTTTATCCTAATAAGATTGCTAAGGCGAACACCGCCATGTTTAGTTTTGCCCAACCTAGGTCGAGGCACAGACACAGTCTCAATGGGTATGGCTGAGCTGACTACACTGACTATGCTATTGGCAGACTCCACTAAGCTGGCAGGTTGGCTAACAGCCTGCTGCCTGGCCTGCACCCTATTTCACTGTGGGGCTAGAGGAGTTAGAGCCCTATCTATGTTGGTAGATAAGATGAGAGCACCCCTCCAGCTAGGATGGAGTCCGTCACTCCTCAGCAGGTCAGGCTTGGTCCTGTTTGTGGGTGAGTCCCAGAAAGAGGGCCAATTATCTACAAATTCTATCTTTTGGGAGGGGCAGAAAACAGTTTTCAACCAGCGATTGAGTGCTGAGACTCTGCTGTAGAGCTCGTCACTCCCCCTAACTGGGAGGGGGCCAGAGACAATTACTCGATGCCGACACATCTTTCTAGCTGATTTACACGCTGAAGCTATGTTGCACTTGGTGACCTCTGACTGTTTCATCCTAACATCGTTGGTGCCGACGTGGATAACAATATCTCTATACTCTCTACACTCGCCAGTTTTAGCTTTAGCCAGCACCATCTTTAGATTAGCCTTAACGTCGGTAGCCCTGCCCCCTGGTAAACAGTGTATGATCGCTGGGTGATTCGTTTTAAGTCTAATACTGCGGGTAATGGAGTCGCCAATGACTAGGGTTTTCAATTTGTCAGAGCTAATGGTGGGAGCCTTCGGCGTCTCAGACCCCGTAACGGGAGGAGTAGAGACAAGAGAAGACTCAGACTCAGACTCCGACTCGCTACATAATGGGGAAAACCGGTTGAAAGTTTCTGTCGGCTGAATGAGCGACACCGGTTGAGCATTCCGACAGTATTTCCCTCCAGAAGCCATGAGAAAGTTGTCCGGCTGCGGGGACTGTGCGGGGGGATTTATACTAACGTTACTATCTGTACTTACTGGTGGCACAGACGCTGTTTCTTCCTTTCCTACACTGAAATTACCCTTGCCTAACGATTGCGTCTGAAACTGGGCTTGTAGCACAGCTATTCTCGCCGTAAGGCGATCGTTCTCCTGTATATTATGAGTACAGCGACTGCAATTAGAAGACATCATGTTAATGTTACTACTTAGCTTCGGCTGTTGAAGATGTTGACGAACCATGTCCAGATAAAGCGTCCGGAGTGAAAAAGTTGAATGAGGGAAAAAAGTTGCGATGGAAAAAATAAAAATAAAGTAAAGTTGGCAGCAAAAACGCACAGGAAAATGACTCTTCTGTCTCGGGACATTCACTCCTTGGAGGAGAGCGCGCTTTTTCCCAGAATCACTGCTAAAGCAACACATGAAGACCAAGGAGCTCTCCAAACAGGTCAGGGACAAAGTTGTGGAGAAGTACAGATCAGGGTTGGGTTATAAAAAATATCAGACACTTTGAACATCCCACGGAGCACCATTAAATCCATTATTAAAAAATGGAAAGAATATGGCACCACAACAAACCTGCCAAGAGTGGGCCGCCCACCAAACTCATGGACCAGGCAAGGAGGGCATTAATCAGAGAGGCAACAAAGAGACCAAAGATAACCCTGAAGGCGCTGCAAAGTTCCACAGCGGAGATTGGAGTATCTGTCCATAGGACCACTTTAAGCCGTACACTCCACAGAGCTGGGCTTTACAGAAGAGTGGCCAGAAAAAAGCCATTGCTTAAATAAAAAAATAAGCAAACACGTTTGGTGTTCGCCAAAAGGCATGTGGGAGACTCCCTAAACATATGGAAGAAGGTACTCTGGTCAGATGAGACTAAAATTGAGCTTTTTGGCCATCAAGGAAAATGCTATGTCTGGCACAAACCCAACACCTCTCATCCCCCCCAGAACACCATCCCCACAGTGAATCATGGTGGTGGTAGCATCATGCTGTGGGGATGTTTTTCATTGGCAGGGACTGGGAAACTGGTCAGAATTGAAGGAATGATGGATGGCGCTAAATACAGGGAAATTCTAGAGGGAAACTGTTTCAGTCTTCCAGAGATTTGAGACTGGAATGGAGGTTCACCTTCCAGCAGGACAATGACCATAAGCATACTGCTAAAGCAACACATGAGTGGTTTAATTGGAAACATTTAAATGTATTGGAATGGCCTAGTCAAAGCCCAGACCTCAATCCAATTCACAATAAAAAATATTTTGCATCTTCAAAGTGGTAGGCATGTTGTGTAAATCAAATGATACAAACCCCCCCAAAATCAATTTTAATTCCAGGTTGTAAGGCAACAAAATAGGAAAAATGGCAAGGGGGGTGAATACTTTCGCAAGCCGACTGTATAGCAGTCACCCAATCAGTGACATAAATACATGCAGTATAATACTTTTTTATACAGAAAGAACATGATTTAATGATAGGAGTTGGAGCTGTAGTTAGGGTTGTGGTTGAGGGTTATTGTTGAACCAGGATGTGGACATTAATCTAGGTTTAGGGTTAGGGTTGTGGTTGAGGCTAGGATTAGGGTTGAACCGGGATGTTGACATTAAGTTAATGTTAGGGTTGTGGATGAGGCTAGGTTTAGGATTGAACAGGGAAGTGGACATGAAGCTAGTGTTAGGGTAATGGCAAGATTAGGATTAGGGTTATGCCAAATTACGGTTATCCTACTTTTATCCTTATTTTTATCCTACTTTCCTTGTTGGACCCGTAAGGTGCTGGAGCTTGGCTCCGCCTGGCTATCATTAACCCAATGTGCAGGAGCCCGGCTCCGGGTAGCTCTGGCTCAATTTAACCACTGGCTACAACCCTGCAATTTGAAATGCCATATTTATAGAGGAGATAATGGGTTACTGTTCAATTAGGGTTAATACAATGAACATCTGAATTAAACTGACAGCATACATCATGACACCACATAAAAATTAATAATTACTGTATGTGGAAGGGAAACAGCTGCAGAGCTCCATTCCATAAAGAGTCTATGAATTTGAAATGTGACCGTAACGACTAAAGATGACACATTAAACGTGAACATAGCACAAACGTTATGCAATTTAGATTTTTTTATACAGTATACAGGAGGAGAGGAGAATGACAATAAGCAGTTCTCTTTCAAATGCCAAGATCTTTCCTAATGCTGACATTCAATGAGAATCTACTACTTGATAATGCTGGATTAGCCTCAATCATTACTTTCTATCGTCAACTGACCTGACAAAAGGGCAATCTGCAATAGATCCCTTTCTGTGTTTAGAAACATTGCCGCAAGAGGGCAATGCGTGCAAGTTGGTGGCAGAACAAAGGGGAGTTATTACAGAGCGGCAGCAAAAAAAGCCTCTATTTACATTTACATTTACATTTACGTCATTTAGCAGACGCTCTTATCCAGAGCGACTTACAGTTAGTGAATACATCTTTTTTTTTATACTGGCCCCCCATGTTGCTTATGAGTGCATTTCACACTTCTTTTGGATTATAATTGGATTTTAAGGCTTGTATGAATGTCCTGCTTATTATAATATGTGTGTCATCATCACAAATCAACTGCATTATACTTAAAACACACTTTAACTTCAACCAGTAAAATGGCTCTTTGGCTAGCTTTTGCTACAGCCTAAAGTATATCAATGGCAATGAGCGTTAGCATTCTAGCTAACAAATGCTGCATCCAAAATAGTTATTTTGCAAAGATCACAACCAAATATAATCTTAGCGACTGTTCAAGCAAGAATCAAAACATCATTGTAAGCCTATGAGAACCCCAAAAAGTGATTTTCGCAGATGGTGATGGCTTTCTTACTGCCGCCAAGAGACGCGTGCATCTGTGCGTGATGTCAGTGTGTCTTGTACTGGAAAAGGGTCTATACCATGGCTATACAGCACACTGCAAGCACTCCATAGAGCAGGGTTCCCCAATTGGCGGCCCGTGGGATGAATTTGGCCCACTGGGGGGTTTTATTTGGCCCCCAAGTTTTCTGAGCCAAAAAATTATAACATTTTCATTGTTAGACATCAAATACTGTAAAAATACCAGGAAATCAGCTCCAAGTGATTTACATTTTGGAAATCTGTTCCCAAGTATTGCCACACATAATAGAGAGACGTGATTGTTTATAAATGTAAGCAAGGGTTAAAATTATTATGTTTTAGTCAAATATGATATCTGTTTGGGCTTCTTGCGGTCAATTTGCAGTCTATAAATTATATGTAATTATGTTCCGGCCCCCCGACCATCCGCTCAAGAAAATAATCAGCCCGCGGCTGAATCTAGTTGATGAACCATGCCATAGAGCATTCCCATCACACTATTTAATTGATTTCATTACCTATTTTTCTGCTTTTATCTCCCTCTTTTTCTCAACCTCTCACTCTTTCCTTCTGTCTTTCTTTCTGTCCAGTCCCTGTACCTGATTCGTCAGGAGATGACGGTATCCCAGAAGCAGCTGGGAGAGTTCTGTGAGGCCCTAAAGCAGTACCTGAAGAATGTCTCTGCTGAAAGAGACTGCTTCCAGTGAGTCCACCTATTTAACTTTATCTGTGTGTCTTTCATTGTCCATCTCACACAATACCTTTGGTGACCATTTGTCCACAGTGTGTGTTTTTCTACATGGCTGATGTATTCACAACCTAACTGGTTAAATACGAACCCTGCTCAAGTACTTTACCAATCCTCAATATACAACTTAATATCGTGAGACAGATGCCCTGACACATTTCTTTGTTAACCCTGTTGTGATTGTGTCATGCCTTCACAAATCCTCACATTAGTCTCTGGAGTGATGGGCCATGCCTTCTAACAGATGGAAGATCTTAATTTGAGCCAGTTTGTTACAGCAGGAAAATTATCCTGAAGCAACAGGAAATGTGAATTATATGGATTTTAATTAATGGATATGTTTGTAGGTGTTGATTCATTTTTCTTAAGGGAAAATAAAGTCTGTAATTTCAAAGTGGAAATTACAAACTTCAGAAGCCTTTTTAAAACTCAAATACACTACAAGTCTTAAAAGTAATATACTCCTGCAACTTGTGATCAAATTAAGATCCTACATCTATAATGCTTATTTTGTCACAATGCTCTGCAAGGTACTAATCTCAGCTCCAAGTATAATGGCAGGAAGGCTCAGTGGAAGGAAACTCAGAGAGAGCATGAATAGATATGAGAAAATAAAGGACAAATAAGTCAACATTACAGTTGAGGGAGATAGGGAGAGACAGAGAGCCTCTGAGTGCTGGTGTGTACAGGTTAGGGATGGTTGAGAGAGCATCTGGCAGAGAAAGGATGTGCTGGGGACTGAAGAGGCAATCAGACTGGATAAACCTGTTAGACACGCTGTTGTCCTCTGCCTCTCCACAACTATCATCAACCAGGAGGAATCTCCATGTGACAAGGGACGATGAAGTGGAAAATAGGGTTGAGCAGATTAGAGAAACCTGGGTTTAGGTGGACAGAGCTTCTCAGATCTTCTTGCTCTGAGCTGAGGTAGTGTGCAGCAGCCTACTGCACAACCTCCAAATACGCTTTAGAGCACTGCTGGAAATAGCTGATTTGTAGAGAAGATTACATTTATTTTCACTATTATTGCTGCTGCCTATAGTACAATTGTATCTTCTTTCCAATCAATGTAGCAGCAGATTCTCATGCCTAGAGTGTGTAAGACTCAGTTCAAAAGGACAAGTTCCTCTACGGTCGGTTTCAGAGCTACTCCCTGGAGCCAAGTCCAGAAAATGGGCTGGCTGCTGTCAGCAGTGTTTTGTAGTCCCATCATTATACACGTAGGGATGGTCAATAATTGATCACTGAGGAATTGGGCTCTGAGTCTGTACTGTGAATAGATGGTTTTCTTTCTCTCTCTCTTCTCTTTCTTTCACACATTACCACTATTTAAGTCTGAAACTTTATTTTCCTCCCTCATCTCTCTACTCTTGGTTCCTATATGTGCTTCTATATGGTACTAATACATCCTGTAAATTATGCAAATGTTTTGTCCTTGAACTTACACGCACAACACACAGACAAACACACAGACAAACACACAAACATTGACAAAGTTATGGGAAGGAAGCACACGCATGGATGCACAGACACACATTCAAACACCCTCCCCTTGTCCACATCTTTCTTTTAGATGGACACACATTAACTTAGACATGTTTTTTTCGGTTTGATGAATGTGATTGTGGAGCCTCCTCGCACAGAAGTGGCCCGTCAAATGAAACAATGCAGTCGTCTGATCTAGATGTAACCTCAGACAGAGAGCTGCCAGCTGTAATGGAAGCATTCAGCAGGTCAATAAGATGTGTCAGGAGTCTCTCCAGTTGCGAGCTCCACTGTGATGGAAGGAAACATAAAACCCAGCTCATACAGTAGAACTCTTCTACTGCACTAAACCCCTGAGGTACAACTCAGCCATCTGAACCACTACTGCCCTCCAGTGGAGGATTATGCGTGGGAGTGAGTGGAGCTGAAGTCAAGTGACTATGGGCTTCTACTATAATGGTTGACTATGGGCTTCTACTATAATGGTTGACTATGGGCGTCTATTATTATGGTTTATGTGGTGTGAAAGTGTTTCTGTGCTCAGCTACCACACATCACTCTCTCACATCTGTCTGCGTAAGCTTATTGGCAATTCACTCTCTTTATTTGAATATTTTCTAGTTCTCCACTGTTCCAATGTCCAATGCCCATTATTGACTTGCCAGTGTCTCACTCTCTCTTTTTTTATTCCTTTCTTCCTCAGTGTGACTGCAGTGCGGCTGCCAGATGGGCTGTCCTTCGTGATGTATGAGTTCTGGGATGGAGAGGAGGAGTGGAAAAAGTAAGTTCTAGAATTGTGTCTCATTTGACTTCTCAGGTATGGAGTCATCCCTCCCTCCCCCACATCTTCTGACCCTTCACTCCTTGGTCTTCTTATAATCCCATAGGTACAATTTCCAGAAATTATGGAATCAATAATGCACATTAATTTGATATGTTGGTGTCTACTATTTTGTAAGCACAGTTCTCATATGAGATATGTGTATTTTTTACACAATTGGGTAAATGATTACAGAAGAGCCGTCATTGCTTAGTGTTTTTGTTTAAATGTTGATACAAAGCTAACATCTGGAGTCAGACTTTGGTTAAGTAGACTCCAGAGGTACAAAGCTCTATCACAGCAGGAACCTAGCTACAGCCACAGTCACTGAATAAGGCTGACATACTGTAATTACTTATTGATGTTTTTGGGGATGTGCTGAGGCTGTGATGAGTCTCTATCTTGTAAGTTCTCTATTAATATTTTACTGCTCACAATCACATTATAATCTATGGGGCGTAGGAGAACTGAAGGAGTGTGTGTGTGCGTCTGCATGTGTGTGCGCGTCTGTGTTTATATGTGATCTCATGCACACCACCTCTGTCCTCAGGCACCTCCAGACTGCGTCCTTCAAGGCCTTTCAACATGTTAAAGTGGACACTCTGTGCCAGCCTGAAGCTATGTCCACTGTTGCTGTGCCAGGTTAGTCTCCTGAGAGAGAGCTGGCATAGAGCACAATCCCCTGGGTAATGCTGGCACAGTGCCGTGTGTCTGGGATGGGGAGCCCTGATAGCGATGGAACCTACTGGGGGAGAGAACTGTTTGAAGAAGAGCAGTCAGGGAAAACACATACCCTGATATTTATTGTTGTGGACTTATTGTTATTGGTATAAATGCGTGTCATAGACTTACCTCAGACAAACCTGAAAATGTATGACTTTCAATTTGAATGATATTATGCAGTGTATCATCATTGTATTATCACATTGAGCAGAAAAACACTAGACCTGAGTGTGAATGTGTTGTAAATGATAACTTGTTTTTCTCTATTCCTTAGCTGCTTGTGTCTAACTGAACTCCTCCTCCCTCTCTCTCCCTGCAGCCGCCTGGTGCAGCCTGAGCAGAGACTGATGGGGGTGGGGCCGCATCGCCTAAATTCGCAACACCCCCATCCTTAGCTCCCCCATACCCCCTTTACCTCGCTCTCACAATCCCTCTCTTTCTCTCTTTTGGTAGTACATGTTTACACAGTGTCTGTTTGATATTGAGGCAAAATGGAAGGCATCAATTGCAGTGAATATTAAACAGTGCATTAAAGCGAGATTACCTCCATCCAATGCATTTGTTCATTGTATCGTTCACCCTCAAGTCATGGTAGAAATGAGGTGAACAGTTAACCTGCTTTTGAGGCTCTAGTGCATGTCATCCATGCCTGCTGCTGCTGCTAATGACAGAGTAATAGAGCCCACAACATTCGTCTCTATCAAGCGGTTAAGGTTTTTTTTTTTTCGTTGTGTTAAGAGTACATGTATGAATCAGCAATGGATATATTAGCTGTTAAATTCTAGTAAAATTATATGAAAACATGTTCTATTATAATTATATTTGTATTGACGTCTTTAGTGGTACAGTGCAAAATTCCTCAGCAGATGCGGTTACAACAAAAGCAGCAAAACTTGTGGTTTTGAACAACTAATCTCAAGCCTTAAACATCAGCAGGTGGTTGAGGTTGTAGGAATTCCCATAATGGAGTGGCTACAGATCCGACTTTTCCCAGGATCTTTTTTTCCCCAGGACCTTCAGTCCCGAAGCTTCTGCGCATGTGTTTCTTTACCTCTACTTTACGCACTCATTTTTGTGGTCTCCTTACCTTCACATTTCTCACTGATGATCATTTGTCAAGTTTTACTGGTGTAACATCCATGCAGCATCTGCATACCAACCATTTGATCTCAATCAGTTTCATGGGGATATTAATTTAGATCTTGAGTTATAGTGTTGTTTAGAAGTAGCCTACAGTGTTGTTTTGAATAATGTACAGTGAGAGAATTTTAGAGCAGATGGTGTTAACAAACTGTAGCATAGCCTACCTTTGTAGAGCAGAGACTGTGCATAAAGTAGAGAATAAACCCATGAGCAGAACGTGATCCGCACATGCACAGAAGCTTCGGGACCTATAGTCGAGGGATAAACTACCCATAAACACAGAGTAATTCGATTTAAAAACATCTAACGCGCAGCCACATATTACAATCACAGTGTTCATTGCAATTGAGCAAAAAGGAGATGTTTCACATGCCTATCAAGCAAATGATAGTAACAGAAAATATATCAGAAAGAATGTTCACCCACCAACCCAGTTGAAGAACCTCTTCTGCACATCTAGGAGCATGACGACTTTGTCCAACCCCAACCTCACCAACTTGAAATCAACATGATCAAACAGAAACAGTCGAAAAGCACAATGTAAATTCATGAAATATAGCGATTACATATATTTAAAGTATGAGATTATTACAAATGATCACAATAAATGTGTTTTATCTATAAAGAATAATGTATGAATCACTCATCTTGATCTACCTTTAGAGGGTGGAATCTTTCACCCACTTCTCCATTGAACTTTGTTTGTCCTGTAAGCACATGGTGGTGGCAAGCTTGTCCTTTACCAATGGGGGAATATCAAACCCTCACTCCCCCAGGATCAGATTATCAGATCGTCTCAGATTATGTCATGTAAGTAATAACAAAGACTGTCCTTGTTCACTGTAAATAATTAAACTTTGTTTACTTGCCTTTGATCATAACTAGGACCACCACTGAAATGGAATTAACTCATGTCCAGTTCTATCTCTGGTGCTAGGCCACATTACTTAGAGAGAACCCTGGACTTCTCAGTGTTAATGCACCCGTGATATTAATAAATAATAAATAGCATGCCTTGGGCTTTATATTAGCCTCAGCATCAGTATTACAGAATGGAGCAAGAGCATGGCTCCCTTGTTGACAGACGTATGTGGGTACATTCTACTGGAAAGGTAGCTTCCGTTGGGTTCTGTATGAACAGGTCAGAGCCAGCCAAAAAATGCCAAGACTATTTCTGTAACATTCCTGGCTGTTTCCTAAACTGTGCAACCAATTTTGTTCTCCCCATCTCTCGAGTGCATGTTAAAATGAATGTCCAGTAATTTATTTGCCGTAGTATTTAGCCATGCTACTTTCACTGGGTTTTGTGCATTTCTTATTTTTCTTTTATAGTATTCCTATAAAGGACAAACAAAACAAATATATATGAATAGAAAATGGCATACAGAATGAACATTCACTTTTATGGCAATGTTTAGAGAAATACTAATTCTTATACTTATGTATGTTTCAGTAAAATGCTTTCTCTCTCAGTGTAGAGACTTAACGTACTATAATTAGTCTTAAAACTGTTGAAATTCTAGATCATGTAGAGTGATAAAACTCAATAAAATGGAAATACTGAAATACACCATGAATCTGTTGCTTCATTGCTTTACATTTCTGGGAAAGCATGCACACAACATGTAGTATGAACACAAATGCCAGTGCATATTTCCTATAAAACATTTTACTTCTGATTAACATGTCAATACAATGACAAACATCGACATACTGTACACAAAAGGCAAAATTGTAACTTGAGTTAGCAATCTACGCGAGAATACACCACTTATGTTCATACAAAATATCAATGCAAACACCTCCACACACACAAGACAAACATTTACAAAAAGTGAAAATAACTCACTTTCTCCCCCCCCCCCCCCCACCCTCATATGACATGTTTACTCTATGGCCATTCTTTAGTTATGGCTATAAATACTGTTTTTTACCTATTATGTAAACTTTTCATTGAGATTTCCTTCAGTGTATTGGACAGTGAGCAGAACACATTGTGCAAATGGAATAATACAAAAGTAAGAAGAATAAGAATCTCCCCTAGTCCTACCCAACCAACAAATCTCATACAATGAAGACATGTACCAGTTAGAGTTAGATCTTATTGAGGAGCTGCATGATGGCGATGGTGGTGCTCTGTCCAAAGATGAAGGCTCCACAGATCAGAGTGATCATCCCCCATGTTGTTAGGACCACTCTGAGAGGGAATGGGGGAGGGGTAGTGAGAAAATAAAGGAGAACAATTGAGTAAATTAAAAGAAGGATTTGGATGGATGAATGGTTTGCATGAGTGACCATGATTGATTTAAACTCACCGTGTTTTGAAAGATACTTGCTCTGACTGCATGGCAAATACTAGACATAGTCCTGCAGATGAAGCAAACATACATTATCTCTGCTGGTTCGATTCACATACAACTGTGTGGGAGAGAGTGAAGGTGTGAAAGGGGGATAATTTGCCAACCTGGGAAGATGAAGATGAAAAATGCGCTGATTCCCCCAATGATACTGATAACCTTGCTGATGTCTGGGATGAACATGGCAATGAGGAGGGTGACAGTGATCCAAGCTATAGTCAGCCCCACGCGGCTACAGTTCTCATATGACTCCGTCACAACGTGGAAGCTCCGACGGAAACTCAGCAGTGGGTCCTGAATCACGGACCTGTGTGCAGGACGTTAGAGACACTGTGCAATGAGACTCACTGGGTCAAAACAGACACATTTCATAACAAGTTCTTTATTTTGGCTTAAATGTTCTGATTTAATGGCCAATGAATGCTATTTCTATTTAATGCCCATTATTAAATGCTCTCCAGCCATCATGTTACCTTCCAAGCAGGAGGATGATGGGGTAGATGGTGATGATAGAGATCCCAAAGAGCAGTCTTGCAATGATCATGAGGACATCGTCCCCTGTGTATGACATCAGAATATCTGCTGCAACATCCTTGCCAAATGTCAGGTATCCATAAACACCTAAACCAGAAAGAGGAGAAACACATTCAGACACCAACTTTACCTAAAAGGTTATTCAGCTGTCCCCATAGGAGAACCCTTTGAAGGACCCTTTTGGTTCCAGGTAGAACCCTTTTGGTTCCAGGTAGAACCCTTTATGGTTCCTTGTAGAACCCTTTCCACAGAGGGTTCTACATGGAACCCAAAAGGGTTATCCTATGGGGACATCCGAAGAACCCCTTTGGAACCTTTTTTTCTAAGAGTCTACAGTAGAATAGTCACTGTGTTCACTACAATCAATTGGTGCTATGAGACGGAGCATTGAAGGGATGAGTCTCACCAGTTAGGGAGTAAATGACCAGGCAGAAGAACATGGACACCACAGAGATGAGTACCCAATGGGACAGGCTTTTGTTCTCCATGCTGCTATAGATGGCTATGCAGGCCTCGTGACACTGGAGCACAGAATGATACAGAACAGAACATGGCAGGGTCAGAATGCAAAGCTCAGAGAAACATGACTACATAGACCTGTGACAGACATGAGTCCCAACACTTAGTGTAATCCTTTGAATCATTCTGGTGGCCAGTTAGTCTCAATGTAAGGGCCAGAGCTATCTATAACATGGGGCTCCACAGCTCTTAATGCTCCCAATCATAGAACGTCAGAGCCTTTGTCATAAGCTGACAATTCAACTATATACATTACACTAGCAAGGTTCTTCCAGGTTCCTCAATCTAATTTTCCTCGATCTTTCTCTAACAATCCTCCATCCCACCTCCCTTCAGGATTCCCATCCTTCCTATTTTTTTCTCCAGCTCAGTAATCAATCAGCCTGGGGGTTCAGGGGCTTAGGGAGCTGGGCTTTGTGGGCCTCTCTCCCTACTTCCCTTTTATTACATTTCTGACAATCCCCCTGTGTTTCCTTGGTTACTCAGAAGATTACAAATAATATCTCTGAAAATGAGTGATATTTTCCAATTTTCTTCCAATCTTACCCAAGTTAAAATATTGAACAGAGAAACAGCTCTCCTCTGCCGGATAGCCTGAGGCTCTGTTGAATTGTGATGCTCATTAATAGACAGCTCCTCAATTGACCAGAATTTGGGGTAAATGCCAGACTTTAAACCACTGGCGTCATAAAGAAAATAAATCAAACCTCACAAGTGACCACTTTGAAAACCAAACATGATTGAAGCCGTACTCACCTGAAAGCCAAAGCAGATGGTCGGTATAACGCTGAACATCGAAGCCCAAGAGTTTATTCTACAGAAAGACGACAAGAAAACTTCAGAGTGGCTCTGAAAAGGGCCTTTTCAACAGGACCTAGTCTGACCTGAGGCAATTTCAGTCTTTTACAGTTTCTGTCAATCACACCTACACATTACAATGTGTGGGCTGAGGGCTTGGACTCCACTCCCAGACAGTCAAAATGTAGTTCACAATTAAAATACCTTTAACAAGGGAACAAGGACTAATTGCAGCTTATATTAAAGAGCATCTTAGATCCTGATCTCACAGACTTCTTTACAGGTTACATTTAACTTGACAGCATTTTTCCAAGTAGCATATAGGCCTATGCTAAAGGCCCTCATATAGGCCTATCATAAAATCATATCGATATTGTTCACCTCACTCAGACTATGTAACAAGGACAGAAATTGCTCAAAGAAAAAAAAGAAAAAAAAAGAATACGAATTGAGATGACAAGCACTCACCCACTAGTGTACAAGGGGGATTCGTGCACCTCACTGCCCTCTCTTGTGTGATATTTCACAATGATGGCCACTGTTAAGTATGTAGCTGCCAGAGTACCTAAAACACTTCAAAAGAGGGAAAGGGTTGAGTATAACATGAGATTGAATATGGCAGCCAACCGCCACACAAATGGTGCAATGTTCTGCACCAAGTAGCCTGGGTTTAAATCTTTGCAATGCTGTAGTACACTGCCCATAAATGACTCACTCACCTGATGTACTTCTGAATACTGATCTCTTTAGGGATGGAGAGAGGGAGGATGAGGAAGACACACAGGAGGATGAGGGCGAAATGTGGGTGTGTGTACCAGTGGTATGGCATATCTGCCTCGGGTAATCCAGTGATCAACTCATACAGGGAGATGCATACTGCAACACAAACACATAAATGACATAAAGAAACATGTATCAGATACTGTATATGAAGTTGAAAATCTATATCATTAACCTATTTCCAATGATCATCATTACATAATGAGAAGTGGGGACATGAAAATCTGATGATTTCAAAGGCTCCAGAAGAAATAGTTCATGAAGGAATGACTTGATTATCAAATGGTAACATAATCCAGCAAGAGATAGTCAGGGAATCATGCAGTCGGGGAGAAGCATGAACATACTCACGTTTCTCCAGCTGGTCTGACACTATGACCAGGAAGGCCACAGAGATCATGAAGAGGTTGAAAACGAAGACAACCTCACAGAGCTGCCCGATGGCAGGCCCACACACATCCTTCACCACGGCCTGGTATGTGTTCTGACCACTGATGGAGGAGGAGTAGCCCAGGATTACCAACCCACTGATGAGGAACACCAGGGACACCTGGGGCAGAGGAGAGATGAAGATACAAGAGGTTGCTGAGTGGGAGAAGAGAGATGTGATTGAGCAAATAATAAGAGAGTAGGCCTATAAAGGATTAGTCTGGCTGACACCAAACTCGAAGTCCTCGTGATTCACGTCAGCCAGGCTAATAAAGGATAACAGGGATGAGGGGAAGGCATAACCAGAGGGAATGTCACAGAAAGGTGAATTTAGGGTGTACAACTGCTGAGAATCATGTGCTTGACTGCGGTGCTTGATATTGATTATATACAAAATGCAAAAACAGGAAATGATCAATATTGATGCAATTATTCAGATGAAGAATATGTAGGCTACCCATAATTAATCAATTAGACAAGCTATCCATCTCTTGGCATGTTGACCCCTCCTCGACGACACGACGGTGGAAGGCCTGGACAACAACCTCTCCCTCAACGTCAGCAAGACAAAGGAGCTGATCGTGGACTACAGGAAACGGAGGGCCGAGCACGCCCCCATTCACATTGACGAGGCTGAAGTGGAGCGGGTCGAGAGCTTCAAGTTCCTCGGTGTCCACATCACTAAGGATCTATTATGGTCCAAACACACCAACACAGTTGTGAAGATGGCACAACAACTCCTCTTTTCCCTCAGGAGGCTGAAAAGATTTGGCATGGGCCCTCAGATCCTCAAAAAGTTATATAGCTGCACCATTGAGAGCATCTTGACTGGCTGCGTCACAGCTTGGAATGGCAACTGCTTGGCATCCGACCGCAAAGTGCTACAAAGGGTAGTGCAGACGGCCCAGTACATCACTGGGGCCGAGCTCCCTGCCATCCAGGACCTCTATACCAGGCTGTGTCTGAGGAAGGCCCTAAAAATTGTCAAAGACTCCAGCCACCCTAGTCAGACTATTCTCTCTGCTACCGCACGGCAGCTTCTACCCCCAAGCCATAAGACTGCTAAATAGTTGTCTAAATAGTTAAGCAAATAGCTACCTAGACTATCTGCATTGACCCTTTTTGCACTAACTGTTTTGACTCATCACATATGCTACTGCTACTGTTTACTATCTGTCACTTTATTCCTAGTTATATGTACATATCTACCTCAATTACCTCGTACCCCTGCACATCGACTAGGTACTGGTACCCAATGTTCCCTCTAAGCTGCGCACGTGTCCGTGATCGAATCAACGCAATATTAGCCACTTTCAATGCAACATACCGAAACAAAACGAACTATGCAAGACTTAGTTATCAAAACTAACTATGCAAGAGATTTTGTTGTAGGCAGAGCGCATCGGAATAGGATTATATTGCATTGACAGGCAGGACTCAGGCCCGTACTCTATACAGACTAGTGCGCCATAACCAATCAGAGCTGCAGTAGGCCTATATGCAAATAGACCATTGCCATATATGGATTTGTACCATTCACTTTGAACTGGACTGTATGAGCGGTCGTGATTATTATGCGCTTGTTTAGAGATCAAAGTGAGAGCTTCATGTAGCCACATTTGTTCATGTTCTTTGCTAGTTAGTGAGTTATTAGCCCAGTTATTGCTAATTTGTAGTCAGCAATGAGGGAGTGATTGCTTCCTACAAGAGCACAAAACGTGTACATTTCTAGTCATCTTTGAAAAGCAAGTCAGGTAAAGAGTTTTTTTTTATGCCTTAAAGGGACAGTGTTGTATTTTAAGACAGGCTTGAATAAGCTAAGTAGCCAATAGGCAGAGGGTAGCATACTTTGTATGATTCTCTGTAATAATGGTATGGGGATAATAATGAATTTTATTTTGTAAAGTGGTTTCTTGCATCAAACAACACAACAAAATGTTCAGTCACCCCCTTGTCTGAAGGACAAGTGGATAAACAGGTTAATGTCAAACCCTGCATGTTTTTTTCAAAGGTCTCATGGAATGTAGGCCTACATTGAAAACCACACATTGGCTGCTACTGTAGGCTGAATGATAGAACCGATATTTCCATGTTAAAATGTTATGTGATGCATTTTCGCCATCGTTTTTTTGTGGTAGGCCACTCTGGTAGGCCTACATTATGATCAAATAGCCACAGTAGCCTACTTGGCCACTGTTAAAACAGTAAATTAAAGGGGGTACAGCCCCAGTGTTCACAGTAAACGTGCGCTGGTAGTTGCACAGAATTTTCACAATGTTCAAGTTTGCACTCAAAAATTTGAGGGAACATTGCTGGTACATTTTACATTTACATTTTAGTCATTTAGCAGACGCTCTTATCCAGAGCGACTTACAGTTAGTGAGTGCATACATTTTTCATACTGGCCCCCCGTGGGAAACGAACCCACAACCCTGGCGTTGCAAGCGCCATGCTCTACCAACTGAGCTACAGGGGACTACATTATATGTTTCAAAATATAGACAGGTGTACCCCTTGTATATAGCCAAGTTATCATTACTCCTTGTGTATCTATTTTTATGTGTTTTACTTTTCTAGCCTTTCTTTATTTTCTTTCTCTCTGCATTGTAGGGAAAGGCCCATAAGTAGCCTAAGCATTTCACTGTTAGTCCACACCAGTTGTTTACGTGACGAATACAATTTGACTTGATTTGATTCCCACCACCCAATTCTAGATGGTTCACCTGCACAGTAAATTACATGCCTAAATCAATAGGTTTGGAGTAGGCCTATATAGATCGTTTAAATTGGTTTAAAATAAGTTTTAAAACAGGAGGTGGTTAAAATTAAGTTTAAAAACAGGAATGTATCAAATCAAATAAATTGTGGTACTGGGGTCAGTAAAGTCACTAACCATTTCCACGGCGACCGCGGAGCGAATTCCCCCGGCTTTCTCGAAAGCCCATGGGAAGTTGAGAAGTCCTGCACCAAGCGCAGATTTGAGCATGATGAAAATTGCTCCCATAGATCCAAGTCTTGGGCCATCGGTATCGAGCGTGGGCTTGGCCAGCAAACTGATGCTTTCTCTCGCCAACTCTTCCATGCTTGGTCAGACTTGCTCCAAACTCTCCGAAAAACCTCTGCGACTCGTGCCAGGCGGTGTGCTCACACGAATCTGCTCAAGAAATAAAGGTGAACTAGAAAGGAGGCTGGAGCAAGGGATTGGGTTGGGAAGGTCCGTGTACTTTGCTTATTTTGATTTCCTAGTCAAAACGGAGAGTGGAAAAACAGAAAACGGCTCGTTTTTAGTTTCTGAATTTGAGAAACGAAAATTGTAAATCAACTTGTTCGCTCCTTTATTGTTTCAATGTTGGACATGGAATAAGGTAAAACAAATAACAACAACATTTATGACACTTTCGTTTTTCATTTTGTTCATACCTGGAAGTACACGCCCCCTCATAGAATATTTATTTATCTTAGGGGGTGTATTTAGAACCTAGGTTGGCAGCACAAAGAAAGGCTTAGACTGTGTGAGTGTGACAGGAAGATAAAAATACTAATGTTAGCTAAGATGCTGGGCTTATTATGAAGTCAGCATGCCAATAGAACAAACTCAACAACAACTGAACAAAGTTGGCTTGCACTAGGTGGCTAGCTAGCACTAGCTCGCTACTGACTAGCTAGCAGGCTGGCTAGCTAGCCCTACCTGGTTACTGGCTATAGTCATGCTAGCTAGTAGTTGCTAGTGGAAGTAAGTTAGTCCCTCAACCTGCAACAAGATGAAGCTGCCCGGCCAGAGCTACCTGCTATAGAAAGGTCAGATTTCTCCATTACTTTCTGTTGACAAAATTCTAATTAAAGGTACACTGTATTTAAAGGGATGGCTTAAGTTAAATGTGCTGAAAACCACAGGAGGCTGCTGAAGGTAGGACGGCTCATAATAATGGCTGGAATGGAGTAAATGGAATGGTATCAAAGACATGGAAACCATGTGTTTGAGTTTGATTACCATTCCAAATATTCCGTAACAGCCATTACTATGAGCCCGTCCTCCCCAGTTAAGGTGCCACCAACCTCCTGTGCTGAAAGCCCTATTGAATGAAAACTCCATGAGAAAATCTGTTGGCCATCAATTGGGAGGATTTTCAGCAGTTGAATTAAATGTATTCAGCGTGCGCAAGGGAACCACACTTGCAAAGCCTGTTACGCACCTGCATAAGGTAAGTCTGAATACCAACTACTGAGAAGTGTGTAAGAAAGGCGTGCGTAGGAAAAGCGTACATTTCCGAAGTGGGAATTGGCCCTTTAGTGAATACATACTTAGATCTTCCTTGAATGTATGTGTGTAAGTAAGTGGGGGTGGGGAGAGGAGTGTACTGCAGGTGTGTGTGGTGACCTGGCTGGTCATTTGTTAGTGGGCTGTAGCCTCAGGCCTTTGCCTCTTAGTCCCCTGAAGCTCAGTTAGTAGAGCATGGCGCTTGCTTGTGGGTTCGTTTCCCACAGGGGGCCAGTATGAAAAATTTATGCACTCACTAACTGTAAGTCGCTCTGGATAAGAGCATCTGCTAAATATGTACATTCTCTGACCCCTTCCCTCTCTTACAATGAGCCAGTGCCTGAGTATTCAACATATGTCTGTGGCAGTAATTCTAAAAAACATCTTAATTTTTTTAGCAGAGAGAACAAATGGGAATATTTGTGCAATCAAAAGGAAATATTCACAAGGTACAGACCACACCTTCAACTGTATATGTTTAAGATATTTAATGAAGTGAGTGACAGACAGGAGTTGGGGGCTCAACATTAACCACTTTGTATGACACTTGTACTTTGCATGTCACGTGTCTGGATCACAACCATTCATATCTAGTATCCATCAAAGCAATGTTCGCAATGCAAATTCTGGGAATTTCATTAATTTGGACATTTTCTCAGTACTTGAAGGGTGAATAGAAAAACTCTCACATTAGACCTCTTTGAAGGTGGTAGCACATTACTGCCATCTAGTGGATTAATGTTTTTACAACACGGGGGTTATTGTGTACATTTTACATTTTACATTTTAGTCATTTAGCAGACGCTCTTATCCAGAGCGACTTACAGTTAGTGAATACATATATATATTTTTTTTATACTGGCCCCCCGTGGGAATCGAACCCACAACCCTGGCGTTGCAAACGCCATGCTCTATCAACTGAGCTACATCCCTGCCGGCCATTCCCTCCCCTACCCTGGACGACGCTGGGTCAATTGTGCTCCGCCCATGAGTCTCCCGGTCGCAGCCGGCGGCGACAGAGCCTGGATTCGAACCAGGATCTCTAGTGGCACAGTTAGCACTGCGATGCAGTGCCTTAGACCACTGCGCCACTCAGGAGTACACTGCGCCACTCAGGAGTAAATACACTACAATTCAGCCATATTTGAGACTTTAGCCCATGTCAGATTTAAGAATATTGGATACTATTGTACATATATAGGCATAATAATACAACCTGTGTCACATTACTTGACACTTCATCCAAAGTGCTTTACCTTACATTTTTAAAAACAGGCCTAAAAACTGGAAATGCTAGCTGAAGTGGATGGTGACTGCATTTGTCAAGTAGTAGATAAATACATGTAAGAATATTTAAGAATACTGGATACCTTATTGTACATACATAAGCATAATAATAATACAGCCTGTGTCACATTTTTGACACTTAATCCAAAGTGCTTTACCTTAAAATGTTAAAACAGGCTTAAAAACAGTAAATGCTAGCTGAAGTGGATGGTGACTGCATTTGTTCCATAGTAAATAGATGTGTAAAGACAGTAATATCATGAAATCTCATTTAGTCTTAGCTTGTAAATTTTAAAAATCTAAAATTATTTGATTTTGGATCACAGGTAAAATGCAGCAATTACATTCACTTGTATTACTTATCAAGAGAAGGAGGGGAGGTAGAGGGACAGTGAGTTTCTTCAACCAAACCCATCGACACCCATCTATCCACTCTCTCTCTCCCCACGCCTACATCCCTCCATACAAGTGCCATCTGTCAACTTTCAGTAAAAAAAACACACTTGAAGCTAATTTAAACATTGAATTAAACCGATTTAATCAAAGGGCAGTTGAACAAGAATGAGAAAGTTTAGTATGAGGGGGATAAAGTAGTTGATTTGGCAACCTGACAGCATGGCATTGGTGCCAACAGCAAAACAACTTCCCCCAATGTATCCTGGAGAGAAAGCATGGGGCAGTTGAGGAATCATTCAAATTCTGTGAGAAGGATGCAATATTTAAACACACAGGTAACAAGTAATTAGTCTGATGTGGACAACCAATTTGAGTGTCATCTATAGGTAATACCACACGACATGCGAGAAATTGAGACTCATCTTGAGAGCATCGTGACTAACAGGAAGTGTAAATAAGGGACTTTCCTTGAAGGACGGGGAAGGAGAAGAGGGTTTCAGCGGAGGTCCAAGAATTCTGATATGTTCTGTCCAATTGTCACTCAAACAGGCCTGCAGGTGCCATCAATCAGCCTACATACATTCTGTGAGTGAACTGTGAGGATTGTCAAGACAGAGAGAAATAGATAGAGGGAGAGTTAACTGTTAATTTGAGCTTATTTATTCCACTTACTTTGGCAATGTTAACATACATTATATTTCCCATACCAATAAAGCCCCATTGAATTGAGAGGGATAATCACTGTTGAGCATTCCATTTAAAATAGTGTAAAACTGTTCTAGAGTCATATTGTCTCAGCACAGTAGGGTACAGCATCAGGGGTTTTTCATTATTTTTACTATTTTCTACATTGTAAAATAATAGTGAAGACATCAAAACTATGAAATAACACATATGGAGTCATGTAGTAACCAAAAAACTGTTTAACAAATAAACATATTTGAGATTTGAGATTCTTCAAAGTAGCCACCCTTTGCCTTGATGACAGCTTTGCACACGCTTGGCATTCTCTCAACCAGCTTCATGAGGTAGTCACCTGGAATGCATTTCAATTAACAGGTCTGCCTTCATAAAAGTTAATTTGTGGAATTTCTTTCCTTCTTAATGCGTTTGAGCCAATCAGTTGTGTTGTGACAAGGTAGGTATACAGAAGATAGCCCTATTTGGTAAAAGACCAAGTCCATATTATGGCAAGAATAGCTCAAATAAGCAAAGAAAAATGACAGTCCATCATTAATTTAAGACATGAAGGTCAGTCAATACGGAAAATGTCAAGAACTTTGAAAGTTTCTTTAAGTGCAGTCACAAAAACCATCAAGCACTATGATAAAACTGGCTCTCATGAGGACCGCCACAGGAATGGAAGACCCAGAGTTACAGTGCCTTGCAAAAGTATTCATCCCACTTGGCGTTTTTCCTATTTTGTTGCATTACAACCTGTAATTTAAATGGATTTTTATTTGGATTTCATGTAATGGACATACACAAAATAGTCCAAATTGGTGAAGTGAAATGAAATAACTTTCAAAAAATTCAAAAAAATAAATAACGGAAAAGTGGTGCGTCCATATGTATTCACCCCCTTTGCTAGGAAGCCCCTAAATAAGATCTGGTGGAACCAATTACCTTCAGAAGTCACATAAGGAGTTAGATTGCACACAGGTGGACTTTTATTTAGGTGTCACATGATCTGTCACATGATCTCAGTATATATACACCTGTTCTGAAAGGCCCCAGAGTCTGCAACACTACTAAGCAAGGGGCACCACCAAGCAAGCAGCACCATGAAGACCAAGGAGCTCTCCAAACAGGTCAGGGACAAAGTTGTGGAGAAGTACAGATCAGGGTTGGGTTCAAAAAAAAAATATATCTGACACTTTGAACATCCCACGAAGCACCATTTAAATCCATTATTAAAAAATGGAAAGAATATGGCACCACAACAAACCTGCCAAGAGAGGGTCACCCACCAAAACTCACGGACTAGGCAAGGTGGGCATTAATCAGAGAGGCAACAGAGACAAAAGATAACCCATAAGGAGCTGCAAAGCTCCACATCGGAGATTGGAGTATCTGTCCATAGGACCACTTTAAGCCGTACACTCCACAGAGCTGTGCTTTACGGAAGAGTGGCCAGAAAA